TAGATTTTTGGTAATATTTTAAATGAAAGATCAAAAGGGTAAGTAATTAAGAATATTTTTACAGCTCATTTTGCTCATGATTACTAGGGATGCCTGTATTTCTGGAGATCACTATACAGTGTAATTTATTTTTAGAAAAAAATTATAAACTAGCTCATTCAGACCACAAGTTTTTATCGGATTACTTAAATGTATGTAAAGGTGTTGGGTGAAGTATTTTCAAATCTTCCAAAATTTTGTGTATGTAATCTTACTCAATGTTACAATGAGCAGAAAACATCCAGAGAGCTGCAGGACTGCAAGGCTGAGATTGAGCAGGCGGCATCTTCTGCAATTAATGCTATGAAGACTGTGCGGAGCTTCAGGGCTGAGGCCCAGGAGCAGAGGAGGTATGAGGAGGCCCTGGACAAGAAGCTCAAGGTTCAGACACGCAAAGGCATTAACAGTGCAGTCTACCTCCTTCTGCGCAGGGTGAGGCATCCCACACAAACAGCTGTGTATTCACTACATGGATGCTCCAGTCCCATTCACTTCATTTAAATAAACTTCCCTGCTGAATTGTCCCAGTTATTCCAGCCCACAGCACACATTTAAAATGCTGCTATTGTTGATTACTTACCTACCTCTGATTTCCCGTGTAACGGACTGTGTTTGTATGTGTGTTTCCGGGTGTAGGTTGTATCAGTGAGCTTGAAGGTGGCAATGCTGCTTCAGGGCCGCAGTCTCATCTCATCAGGCCAGCTAAGCAGTGGAAGTCTCCTGGCTTTTGTGCTCTTCCAGAAAGACATGGTGACTAATATGAGGGTGAGCTTAATGGCCTGAACAGTTTAACCATGCATGTAACTGACATACTAAACTCTATTGTAGATGTTCTAGGCTATGTTCACACAGCAGGTAAAAGTGGCCCAAATCTGATTTTCTCTCCTCGGATTCTTTAAACTTATCTGTTCTTTGACACTTCAGCCTTGTTCTCCTACGGCCGCGTTCGGCCATTTCTTTCAAAACCTTTTTAAACATGGGTTTGGATAAGTCTCTTCTAATTTTTTTACAGAAATATCACCCCAAATATTTATGACGTCTTGACAGCACGAAATTATGACGAATGTCGAGTTGGATTGACGTAAAAGCCGCATGAATTCCGATCTGGGTGTTCAGACTGAGTGCATTGCCGCAGGTCTGATACCTATTGGATTTCAGTGGCCTAAATCCGATCTTTTTCTTCATATGTGACACAGATGTGTCATCTTTGTGGCAGTGTGAACAGAAAAAAACACATTAAATCTGATATTTTCAATTCCGATTTGAGACACTTTCATATGTAGTACTGAAATCATATGTGGTACTGAAATATGTATCTGATCTGCGGCAATCAAGCTCGAACACATTCTGGGTGATGAGCTCAGCTGTCAGTCAATAAAGACGCATTGTTCTTTTGCGTATGTGGGTCAGTTTAGGAGCATGATCTGTTCAGACTAATGTCGCATACAGGTTGCATTTAAAGGATAATGTGAACAGCCAAACAAAAAAATCAGATTTATTGAGACAATCAGATTTAGGCCACTTTTACCTGCTGTGTGAATGTAGCCTTAGATGCTAAGATGTTAAGTTTCTCTTTTCATGTTCTTCTAACATTTACATGGTATTATACGTTGATTTGGTGTTCTCAGCATCTAGTGTATGTTTATGGAGACATCCTGAACACAGTGTGGTCAGCTGAGAAGGTGTTTCAGCTGCTAGACAGAAGGCCGCAAATGACAGAAGCAGGTGATTTGGTGCCCCAGAAGCTAGAGGGAAGAATCACTTTTGATAAAGTTAGCTTCTCCTATCCTTCACGCGATGGGAAAGCTCTCAAGGTAATATTTTTTGTGTTTACAAGTCTAACCCTAACCTCAAAAATGGATGCTGTATCTTTCCATGTTCCACTGACCACTGAGCCGACAATTAGTCTATGTTAATTCTAATTCTGTCATATGAGGATACCTAAATACTGTTAAACTGTTATGCCAGTCTGTGAGCCTGGAGCTCAGTCCAGGAAAGATGACGGCACTGGTGGGCCCCTCTGGTGGTGGGAAGAGTTCCTGTGTCAGTCTGCTGCAGAGGTTCTATGAGCCTCAGGAGGGCGAGGTGCTTTTGGATGGTGTTCCACTTCATCACTACCAACACCAGTACCTGTGCAGCCAGGTAAGCACTGTTACACGCTACCAATGTAATGTGTAACATCTCTATGCTGTAATATATAACGTTGTGTAACATTCTGCCTGTCATTGTGTGGAATGCATTTGTTTTTTCAGAGTCGATATTATTTTACACACAGCTAATGGGGATCCAAATAAACCAGTAAACCAGCATAATGTATTAAAATGTGTAGAGCAATACTATACTAGATATTAAACCATAATCTAAATTTTAAACACCAATTTTTCAAATTATATGCATAATTTATTTAATTCTAAGCGTTTTAATATGAAATTGTGCGTTGTAGATGAGTGATGATAGGAACCAGGGTAATGATGTCTACAAAGCAAATATAGCCATTTTATTTACTAATCAAAATGATCAGTGAACCTACACAACTTCTCAGTTTTAAGGTAAATTTTATAACAGTCCAAAAAAAATGTTTTTGTTGGGTACTATTTTGCCTAATAATGCCCTGCGTGTACTTCTCAATTATTAATGTGTTTTGTTTTGTTTTTTTTAAAAAGGCCAAAAGCTTATCTCAAAGCTACTGTAAAACAATATCTCAGACAGTGTAATCATGGACGTTTAATACATTTCATAAATGTCTGTGAGGTAGCTTTTAAATCATTAAACACTTTGGATGCGACGTTCCTGTCACCGGGTTCCTAATAATTTTGACCATCAATCCTTAGCTCTAACTAAAATATATCTCCATTGGCTCAGATGGCAACTGTGTCCCAGGATCCTGTGCTCTTCTCTGGCTCCATAAAACACAACATTGAGTATGGCCTACATGGCTGCACCATAGAGAGGGTGAAGGAGGCAGCGAAGAAGGCTAGCATCCATGACTTTATTTGCAAACTGGATCAAGGCTACGATACAGGTGAGGTACTAATTTGTTATTTACCAGACAGATGTCTTAGAAAACATATTTCTAAAATGAAATGGTTATTAAATGGTTATAATACTAATATAGTAACGTTAGTTCGCCTATTCCATGGTCTTTCCCTGTGCTTCAGATGTTGGAGAGCATGGAGGGCAGCTGTCTGCAGGACAAAAGCAGTGTATTGCCATAGCCAGAGCCTTTATTAGGAACCCTAAAATACTTATCCTGGATGAAGGCACCAGCAAACTGGACATCAACACCCAGGTTGCGGTATGTGTATGAATACTCCATAAAACCTTACTCTTATCATGGTTGCTCTCATGGTGACAGTTTGCAAATATGCCAATCTTAATCAATGATTCTTCTTTTAATCTAATCCTAATGAGAAGTGAAAATCTGTTAGCTGTTAGACCTGGCCCAGGTGGTCTGACCTGAGAGCAAGGTTAGGGCTGCCGAGGGCATAGCAAGCAGGATGTATGGGGGGACAAACCTGTTCCCCCCCAAGTAAAGCACAGTATTCATGTCATGAATACATTTAGCTAGGATTCATATGACATTGATTTTTGTGGTCCCTGTGGATGCTTGAAGTTTCAAAAGCTCCCTGCCTAGCAGACCTAACAGAATTTTTCTTACTGAGCAGAGTCTATACATTGGCTTAGGTGACGAGCTAGTTTTGCTAGCTGAATTACATTTTCACAGAATCAATGAGTTTTCCTAACATAACCTGCTGAGAAAAAATGTAAAGTAACAGAACATACTGTTTACAACAGGGGCGCTCAATTCTGGTTCTAGAGATCTACGACCCTGGAGAATTCAGATCCAACACACCTGGCTCTAATATTCAGATGTACCTAAAAGCCTTCATCACCTGAATGAGGTGTGTTAGATTAGGGGTGAAGCTAACCCCTACAGGGTGGTAGATCTCCAGGACCAGCATTGGGCATCCCTGGTTTACAATATGAATTACAAACTACAATCTTGACATGATTTGTAGATATTTTAGGGTTATTGAAAGTCTAGCCAAATGCATGAAATAAGAATTCATGAAGTCATACTTCTTGTGCAAGTCAGAGACAGCCCAGTGCACCCTGACAGAAGAGAGTGTTGGAGGAAGATAAACACACCAAGTAACAAAAAATTAAACACTAACAGGGTTATCTAATACTTCGCTCACACTTCTTGCCAGGTTCAAGAAGCCCTCTCTGGCTCAGCGGGTCAGACAGTGCTGGTGGTCGCCCATCGTCTGCAGACTATAGAGAGAGCAGACCATATCATCTACATGGAGGACGGAATGGTCATGGAGCAAGGGACACATGAGCAGCTAATGGCCAAAAGAGGGTGCTATTACCATCTTAGGGAGAAATTATTTAAACTAGATTCTGAGCAACAAAACTGAAAATACTTTATTTTTACTAGACATGTTTATACTGTACTGCTCTGGCCTCTATGATACACTCTGTAATTACAGAATAGCAATGAGCGATTCACTTATTGTGTTGAAGGAAGATGACTAAACAAAGTGGCTGGAAAGCATATTGTCTCCCTTAGGTTCATAGATGCTTTTGATGCAACATGGAGGAACATTTTAAATCACTTATTGCTTTATCTTTATTATCTGTATGCTGTATTATTATCTTTATTATCAGAAGCAAAAAACACAGTGTTTCAGCTCATCATTGGGTAAGAGGTAAACTCTTACTTTGTTACAGCATCTGAAAAAAACTAAAATCTAAACTAAAGCATCATTTGTAACAGTGTTGTATAAATACCATGTGGGTTTAACTTTTTGGTGTTTTTGGTTGTATTTAGTGCATTTTCACTGAAAAATTCAGGGTAGGTCATCAGAGATTTTGGTTTCACTAATATTCTTACTACCTAAATGTGTTAATGATGGTGATTTTGCACACTAGGTGAAAAAATGAAGGGCAAAGAATGGTTAAATGATCTAAATAACATGATTATTACTGATCATGAGCAGTAATCATGTTGCATGAGTTGTCAGTTTATTCTATTAAATATGCAATGTTAACAGACCTTTATAGAACCACACATACAGTAGAATCATGAACTGTATTAAAAAAAGGCATTCTAAAATCCAAATGACTGTTTTTCCTGCCAATAGTGGCTCAAATTAACCCTTCAAGTATATGCCATAAAAGACAGAAACTGGTTACTGGACTGTGAACCTCCCCTTGCCATCTATAAGTCAGAGAATGACCAGTGGGTTCTCCCTGAGCTGCAAGTAGAGATCAAACAGTGACTCAGAAGTCCTTGTCTTCATCACTCCACCAAAAGCAGCTGAAGACTGAGAGTCCTGGAGGTCCTTATAAAGAGACTGATCAAGGAAACATGTTGTTAATGTGTGAAGGTATACATTTCTTACTTGCCTTGTTAACACTTACACAAGAATTCTCTAGTAAATAAAAATAAAATCAGTTTTACAAAATTTTGTCAGTTTTTATAGCCAAAATCTTACACCTCAAAAACCACACAAGCCAATATTTAAGATCACTTAACTCGGTACATTTTGAGGAAAATGTGTGATGATATAAACATATAACCCACACTAACTAGTGGGCTATAAGCTATATATAATTATTAGTTAGTTATTTTAGTCCTGTAGCTCCAGTATAAAACTAAAAAACCAAACAACCAAACATGGCTTAGCTGACTGATCAAATCTGGGACAATGGGAACATTTGAATGAATCTGATTTTCACTACACTGTTGCTTTAAGTTTATATAGGCGTTAGTCTTAGCATTGTTAGTGGGCTATGAAGATGTGGGTTTTACCTCAGCATGCCGAACAGCCTCACACAAGCGCTGTCCTTTCAGCTGCCCAGGGTTTGCACATTTCATGGGAGCATCTTTGAGAAGGCCCTAATGAAAAAAAATAATTCATGAAATCGCTTGAATCAGATGGCTTACTTTACAAAAAAAAAAAACCTAACAATTTTTGTTTTGTGCATCTCTGCACCTGCAAACGCTGCAGCACAGCATGATGTAGCCCGCATACTGCTGCCATGGAGGAACTCTGCACCTGAACCTCCACCACAGACAGGAGCCCTTCAGCGTTAACATCACTCAATATAACCTGGAGGCAAGATATTGAGAACAATACTTAGCAGCCTGTATATCAATTAGGCTTCCACTGTTTGCTCATTTTGTAAATGTAAATCATTCTAAAAATGCAGACAATGTAGACACCACAATCTCTAACTGATAATCCATTACATCAAACACAAGCTTACCTCTTTGGTCAGCAGTGTAACTGGTTGTCTATCTGGACCATGGGCACACACCACTGCGCTCTCTACAAGCTTTTGTCCCTCTGTCAGAAACATTCCAAACAACAGCCAATTAAGCACAGAAACGCACAGTGCTGCACTGCTGCAGTCACGGAAACCAAGCCCTGTTTTTAGGAGATCAAAAGATATCCGGATTGCTACTACATGGTGATCAGCCTTTGGCATAGGCTGCTCCTCTGTGTGAATCCGTCTGGAGCTCAGGAAAATGCGGGTGGCTTCCCAAACGCTATTATGTTTGGGAATCCCACTATGTGAGGCTAGCTCTCCAATCCTTAAGCAATCTAGCCAGTCCAGTGTTAGAGTGTTCAGAGTCAAACTGATGCAGCTTTTGTCTTCAAGAAAATGAGACACTGGGATGTCACTGGCCGAGAGGTTTCTGCATTCCTCAGGGTGAAGTAAAGACTGTAGGGAGTAGACCAGGAAACACTGGATCTTGACTGGGACAAATGCCTCATCTCTGCTCTCAAGAGGTAAACTCACTTCCATTTTCTGACCACAGTCTAATTTCTTCAAAGCAAATGAGTAAGTCTTGGAAATACCCTCAGCAGTGAGAGAATGGGGTGACTGGACTTCAATGAAGAGAGTCCATCCTTGGTCCAGCACACAAGCACTTAAGTTTTCCAAAGTACAAGTGAGAACCAAAGCTTCCTTTTGTAGCAGTGTACTCCACTTTGCTACACCATGACAGCTGATTGGTGGCTTGCAATCCTTGCCCTCTTGACTGCTCTTCTGATAGGTCAAAAACAGGCTGCAGATGTTGATGACTTGGTTCAAACGCTTCAGGATGTTGTTCTTCAACTGTAGTTGGAGTTTCACTGATGTTGCTCTGGAGAGGAAAGAGCCAAAATGTTAGCAAAAATATTTTCCAATATTAAAGCATTTGAAAGACATAGATGGATGATATCTATCTAAGCTACCTCATAGAAATGTATTACATCAAACAGTTACAAATACACTGCATGATGCCAGAGACATTTACTATAATTTCAAGAGAATGTTTTGGCCTAAAATGTATTGTTTTTAAATATTTTCATGGTGGAAATGCATGTTGTAAGGCAAAGACCCCTAGAAAACATTTTTCAGATTTACCAAAATTTTACCCTTATTTATATTACATATGAAAACTGAGGTTGTGCAGGATTCACTGCTTGTTTTTGATAGTAAATAAAACAGCTATTTTTACGTAGTAGACATCATGACTCCTGGTTCCTATCACCACCACTGTAAAGACATACGAGTTTGTATCAAACCACTCTGAATAACTTTGTTTACGTCTCAGTGATTGAATTATGTATTCAATTTCTGAAAAATCAGTGAAACTCCCTTTTAAAGAACACTGCCCAACTGCATGTTTCATTAAAAACCAAGTGGTGTAGCTGTCTAAGTTTACCACATTGTCAGGAAATCAAGAGTTAAAATCCTGAAAATGCCAGGAGTCCAAGAGGGCATAACCAGCCTTGCTTAATTTGATTAAGCGAAAACTAGTATGTGAAACGCTAAATAATAAAAGGTTAAGCCGGTGCATTGTATTTGTTCCATTATTTAATTAAATGTTTTTGTGATACGCATCACACGTTAAGAATAAAATTTTGCTATACTGCCAATCTATATAGAAATTAACTGATCTAACCTCTCCCAAACATTTCCAATACCAGCCAGGAGGTCTTTCACTGTCTGGCCCACTTTTGATGAAGCAAGTCGAGACACAGAATCTTTATCTGACTCCTGAGGAACTGTCACCTGAAGAAGCCTCCCACTGAGAGACAACACTAGTAGCTGCACACGACCTACAATTCATACACACAGACACTAATATTAGAATAACTCTCTCAGTATAGACATCAGGATATAATCAGTAACTGAGACACAAGTAACAGAATAATGAAGACATCAAAAAAATAGGCATAACATCATTGAGAAAAAGAGAGAAAACTGTCCAAACCAATGCACTCCTTAAATTAAAATGTCTTTATTGTATTGACATGTCTTAATTGGACTGTTAAAAGAAACTCCACATAACCTATTAATTTTCTGGATTTGGCAATCAGTATAGATGAGAACAGTCTTTTTCATAATTCAATATATCATAAAGACCAGGACAAGAGTACAGTACTGAGCACTGACAGTTTTCATCCAAGGGGACTTAAAAACATTATTCCTTTTTGACAGTTCCAGCGTTACTTATTTGTGATGAGGAGTCCATTTTTGAAGAGCAGTTTCAAGAAATTAAATCCTGATTTTGTAAACGGGGCTATCCACCAGCATTATCGAGGGTGCAATAACCAAGGCATGTTCATTAACACATAGCGGTTTTCTAAAGAAAAAACTGTCTCACAAAAAACTGTTCCAGGCCAGTCTTTAATGACACAATATAGTTGCCATGCCCAAAGAATTAAACAAAAGTCTAACTGGAACATAATGCAAAGTGATCTGACTTTAAAATATTTTCCCTGATTCACCTTTTAGAAAGATACCATCCATGAAAAATAGACTGGTAAGGAGCTATCTACCAGATTTTAAAACAAGGACATGGCTCTACACAGACCTTTTGGGGACTTTTAAATGTGGCAGATGCAACCACTGTGAAGGGGTCATTCAGAGCAGAACACTTTGTGATGTAAGAACAAATAGATAGCACAGGACTAATTGTTTTATAAATTGTAATTCTGGGTTTGTGGCGTATTGTCTACAGTGTCCTTGTGGGTGCTTCTATGAGGGCAGAACAAAAAGAAAGCTAAAAGAACATTTTGCTGAATATAAATATACAATCCATGTTAATAATAATAATAATAATAATAAGACTATCCCATGACCAAGCACTAAAAGGAAGTACACCACAGTAACCTTTTGTCTTTATAAATTCAGGGTACTGAAATCATAAAAAGTATTCATGGGGGTGACAGACTGAAGCTATTACTTCAACGTGAAACATCTTGGATCTGGAAATGGTCTTAATGAGAAAATAGATTATAGACCATTTCAGCGAGGTTTACTTCAATTATGTTTTTGTGTGTATGTAAATTTGTTAAACGCTATTTTTCAATACTGAAAACTTTTATGATTTATGCATTCGTCACTTGGAGGTTGCATTCTGTTTTTTATATATATTTTTTTCCTTCTCTGTTGCTTTCAAGTGGGTATGTGTGTAAGAGACATCTTAGTATATGCCTAGCCAACTGAATTGCTTTAGAGATGGGGTCTAGTTGGTGCACCTTTCACCTGACTGACCATAGGCACCTGTGTTTGTGCCTGACTAATTAACTTGGCCTTCCTTAAGCTAATTTTTATTATGCCCTGAAGAAGGCATGAGCTGCTAAGCATGGGCATTTTTTTAACAATCCAGCTAGGACACGTCAATACAATAAAGACATTTTAATTTAAGAAGTGTCTTGGCTTTTTTCACTTGACACCAAAGAGCACCTGACTCAAAGATTTAAAGAAAAGATTTTTTTTCAATTTAGAGCATGCCTAAAATTATCTTTTTTTAAATCATAACGTCAATGTTACTGATTAAGCTCAAGTAATAAGATATTCTCTGAGGGAGGAAACAAGTTTAGTACCTGTAGGAGTGACAGAAGGCTCAGCTAGTGCAATCACTCGGGAAACACTTAGACAAACAGCACTCTGAGAGAGCAGAGCAGGCCTCTCTTGCCTAATGCCCTCTCTCTCTCCCTCTGCTGCTCTGAGGGATGAGAATGCTGACGAGGCTGCAGTCTTGCTCAGAGGCAGAGCTAGCAGGTTTGTGGAGGTACTGTAGAATAGATGTTCACCATCAACACAGGCACACACCACAGGTCCCCGCACAGTCTGCTCAATGAAACCTTTAAAAAGAGAGAAATATCACATATACTTACATTAAAATTCAAAAGTTTGGAATCACTTGTCATACCAATACATTTTCTATTTTACATTCAATAATAACTTGTACAATGTAGGTAAATAAATGTCACACACTATTCACCAATGGATATTTTTTAGGTGTTTTATTTAATATTTTAATAATTCTTTCTTTTCATTTTAATACCCATTGCTATATAACTTTCTCATTCATTTTAGAATATTCTAGGACTGTAGATCATTCTAGACAAATCTAAAGTTTCTTAATTTCTCTCTAGTGTCCTGTTAATTGTCTAACATAGTAATGAACACATTTATACATTTTTCTGCAACTGAATTGGTTTTATATTGTTAAAAAACTGATTCCAAATTTTTGGTACAGTGGCACTGAGTAGTTAATGACAAACAAAACCTTAATTGTAGTTACATTACTAGCAGTGCAAAAACAAGTTGATACTTTCTGATGTATTGATCTGAAGGTGGAGATTCAACTGCCTCGACTTCATACTTTATTTACATTATTACAAAACTCACCACAATCTGCTGCCTTTCCATCAGAGCTTGCTTGATTGGCCCTGATCAGCAGAATTCGACCCATCTGACCAACTGCAACCAGACACTGTGGCCCCTGTTCTCCTACGACGGAAGTTCCAATGAATGTTACAGGCTGTTCCAGGCTGTGGAGCATCCTAATTCGTGGCTTTTGCTCTCTCCATGAAGGGAGAAGAAGCGGGAAAAAGAAAAGTCGCCCATCTGGTAAACCACAGAGAATTACTGGAGAATGAACAAGAGCTGCATCAACTCCAAATAAGAGCCTGAAAAGGAGAGGCTCAAGAAGGTAATGTCCTTGACATGTACGTCCCTTACATGAAGAGTCCTTGCTGGGGTAGACAGAGGCCAGCACTGGAGCTGAGACAATTCTTGCTCCCACTGTATTCTCAGGGATCTGGATACGTGCATGTTTGTGATAGACTGTGGCTCCTGTTGAACAATTTGGTACTTTATAGAGGTCAAAACTCCAGAAAGACTCTTGAAGACTGACAATGACTAAGATGCCCTCTACTAGGATGAACGCTTGCATGTTCCCATCCTCAATAATAATAGAGTCCCTGGATATTGTGGACACGGAGGCATCACACTTTTGTGCTGACTGAGAACTGTGAAGGAAATGAAATCAACGCAGATAGGAAAAGATGAGATTTTAAAGGAAAATGGTGATCTTTAATGCTTTAATAGTGGACTGCCAGATGTCACTGGTAGTCAAAAGGTAATGGAGCTTACGTCACTTTTACAAATCAAGAGACTAAAAAATGGTGTATAGAATGATAAAACTCTCCAGATATGAAGACATAATTTTCCAAAAATGTAACTACATTACCTGGATTCCTGTGGGAAACTCGTGCAATAAAGGCCATTATTCCGGCAGAGAACATAGAGGCGGCTCTTTTCACTTACAGCCAGGGATGACACTGGAGAGTCAAACTGCAAGACGCTCTATAACAGTGTAACATTTTCCTGTCAGTCGCCTTAATCAACAATGAAGCAAGTGCAAATATAGTAGCTATACTTGCCTTAACTCTTTTCTCTTGAAAACTGAAGACCAGCAGGTCGCTGCTACCTGTAGTTAACAGTACTTCGGTCCCAGTATGAGCGACTCCTCCGGAGAGTATGTCACCAAAATCTGCCCAGCAGTTCACGGAGCACCTGACCGTTTCCATAACCTCCTATCACTCAGCGTCAAACGCTACATCCATTCTCTTCTTGCTTATGTAACTCAAAAACATCAGCTACAGTCTCGAATCCTACACACCCGATGTTTTTAGACATTTTGCTGTCTCTTCCCATCCTAGCCCATATTAGCAAAGCGCGCTAGTTTTATCCGGCCAATCAGAATCATTTTCTTCTTCTATTGAAACATTGAGCTCAGCAAGTGACTTCTGCCACCTGCTGGTCTATTTTAGGCCCAATCCCATTTCTTATTTTTCCCCCTACCCCTTCGAGTGTCGCCTTGCCCCTTGGAACTGAGTTACAACGGGTAGTGGTTGAAATCCTCCCTACGAAATGGGACAACATTCAAATAAAAAACATTACTTCATTAACAGCCTACTAGCGGTGCTCTGTAGGCGGCACTGCCAGTCTGCAGTGATAGCAGAGGAGCGGTAAAGTTCAGCAACCTTGCTGCTGGTTTTTAGTTGAAGTCAGGGCATTAAACTAAGACAATACAATGTTTATCGTAATTTTCTAACAGAAAATACTTACATTTGTGAGTTTTCTTTGGTCGCTTGCGCAGCCATCTTACCGGTTTTTCTTTTTTTTTCTCATAACACTCCGTTTGAGTGTGCCTTTGAAAAAACTCCATTTGGAGGGTCATGTTGCCCTAACCTTTCGCCTAACCCCTCCATCTCAACAAATATCGCCCCCCCCCCCTCGGCATGAATGTGCAAAACGGAGTGCTAAGGGCTAAGTGGTGGGGTCAAAGGGTGAAATAGGATCGGACCATTTTTCTTATTCTTCCTGAGGCGGCTTGCATTGCCTCCACCTACTGGACTATAGTGTGGACAAAGCTGTCAAAGAGCTACTCTAATACTTGTCCAAACGTATCTAGACACACCTTCTAATGAGTGAATTCAGCTAATTGATGGTGCTCCCATTACTGACACACAATTCAGTTGTGCGCACATAGCTTTATAATCTCCATCAAAAAGCACTGCTGGACGGGGGCGCTCTGGAGCAGCCTCTCATGAGCATAGGACAGCGAAAAGCCTCTTTGGGCAGGAATGCTGGTCTAGGATCTGCTCCTGTCAGTAAGATTATCATAAATAAATGATGAATCTGATCCTAGATCAGTTCCTACTCTGAGAGGCTTTTATACATACAGATAACATTTTTGCTTCTGCCTTCCTCACAGGGGCCTCGTTCTCAGTGCTCTTGCATGCTGTACTGCTTGCTTAGCTAGTTTATCAGCACTCTTCCCTCTGCTCCCTGATGTGTTGTAACCCAGATGAACTTTAACCCATAGTTCCCGTATCTGTGTATATAAGTGCACAACTTTGTTTGAAATACCCCACCTATGTTTGCCGTAGCTAATTCTGAACTTGAATCAGGACGTGATCATTCTTTTCGGAACGGCCCAGTAATATTCTGTCAGCTGGTGTCTTCTAAAGTGAAGATCTCTTTTTGCATCACGGCTATCTAACTTTTCTACCAGAGCCTCAATGCTGATCCATGCACAATAATCAAGTTTTGACATTGTTAATTCAATGCATGTGGTTTCTAACGCTGACCTTTTTGCTCCCCTTTCCTGGAACACTTCTTATGACTTTCTTGCATTTCTCAAATAAAATCGCAGTATTAACTGCTCATGACAGCCTTTGTCAAAACAGACCCTCAAAAATCTCATTAGTCTTCTGACAATCTCTGCTGGTCTATGTATGCAAGCTTGATACATGCATGACTTTATGCAGGGTAAAATAGTAGGGTATCATCAGCAGCCACACACATAATGCCAGTGAACACTTCCACATACAAAAAAAGACACAAAAAAATGAGAAAACATAGGCAAAGACACAACACATCTCACACTAATTAACAACAACATTCACACAAATGTGCTTTTCAACAGAGGAGAGGAAGCACATGTGGCACCACTTTGCATACCACGCCCCTAAAACCCTTTTGTGTTTTGCTGCACCTTGATTGTTGATCAGTTGATTATCTTTAGCTGAGTCAAGTATAATGGACTATCATGCAGAGTTTAGTTCCATACTGCATTTAACATCCCATCCCCTTAAAAGGGAATTACACCAATTTTTCTAAATTTCAGCATGGTTATATAAATAAGATGTAAATGAAGTGAATTCAAGTGGTTTGATGTTCAAGAGAAACTAACCAAGTTGTTCACAGCAGTGATAGGAACCAGAAGTCTGAAGCATTTAATGCCTTGAAAGCAACCTTGAAGAAAGTTATTATAAGAAATATATAAGAATACACTGTCTGCCCTGCTGAAGCTGGTTTATACTGGTCTGCAGCTGGTTTAGCTGGGCACCCAGCATGGTTATACTGGTTGACCAGCATACTATCATTCAAAACACAAAATATTTGGTGACGTGCATTATATTTTATCCTTTCTTGGCGTACATGCAGTGCTGTAAGGCAAAATTAGTGCCCAAAAGGAAAATTTTTCAGATTTTCCATTATTTTACTGTACATACAATACATATAAACATTTAGGAGACACATATAGATTCACTGGTCGTTTTGTTTTTTCACTTAACATCTTAACATGGAGGATAAAAATCTACTAAAATTATGGAACAACTGGAAACAACACAGCATTTAAAGTCCCAACAGATGTTTACAGAAGCCCTAGGATTTGTAATTTTTTTTACTCTGTCTTTTATCATAAGTTTTCATTTGTCCTCTTGAGATCTCGTAATATTTATTATCCCGGCTAAACGAATGCTGTTTTCTCGAGATCTCAAGTTATCATTATCACGACTAGATCTAGATTTTCCAGGGTGTTTATAGTTTTACAGTAAATAATATTAGATCTGTGCACAGCCTCTGTCCTCCACTGTATCAGTACTGATGCTCTGACCCAGAGGATTATGGGAAATGTAGGCAGCGAAGGTTACATCTACTGTCTTCAAAACACGGCCGAACGGAGGACCCTCAACAGACCGCGTTTTGAACACATGTAAGACTGGGTGCCTTCCTGCCTCAGAACACTGTCTGAGTAGGCAGCGTTTAACACGGTTCGGACAGATGTGCTATTCATGATGCATTTTATTGTGTGTGATTGTTGAAACTTCAATAAAATTCTTTCAAAACTCGAAGTTGATGCTGAAACGAACTGGCGCGAACACGCGCACGCGCCCGTCACTAGGAGACACAGATGAACAAACGTGAAGCAGCAGCTGCTGCTGTTGTTTTCGCCGCCGTTTGCGCTGACACTGTAAAGAAGAAGCAGGTAAAAGACAGAAAGGTGAGGTCGTGGACGTAAATATGGGATCATTGTTTTAGAGTTTTTGATGTACATGCACTCCACTGTGCTCGCGCCTTAAAATCAGTTCATTAAAAAGCTTCGCGAAGAATTTCTGTTCTGCATTTTTCTTTATTTATTTGCTGCGCTCTCAGTTTTCATTGGCTGTTAGGGTGATCCATTCAGACCGAGTCGCTGAGTGACCTTACACTACTAACTTTGATCACGCCCGAAGCCAAAAACAAACATGATATTCACTGACTGGTCTGAAACGCAATCGGGAGGCACACTATTCAATTTTCTCTGCGTCAGCTCCGACTACCTTGGCATCTGCAGACCTGAGCCATCCAGCACAGACCCGGGCCGGACAGTAACTGACTGACAATAGATGCCTTCTGCACATTCCCACCTCTCAGTCTGTGCTCTACTCAATCTACGCACATTCGTGGGCTTTCCTTCATCTGGCACACATGATTCAACTCATTAACTAGCTCTTTGTGTGCTGGGTCAGGTGAGTTATAGTGGAGAAAACACAAAACATAGGGTCAGGACTGACCTTGGGAACCACGCATTTCCTATCTATTAGACGATTTCCCATTGTTTTGTAGGTTTTCACCCCATTGCGAAAAAAAAACAACCCCCCCCCCACCCCCGCAAAAAAAAACAAAAAAAAACCAAAACCAAACAACAAAGGAAATTGCGCCTCGCGCGCCATCTACCGTTCAGATACCGCTACAGCTTCAGGACTTTTGACTCTAACCTTAGTTCAAAGTTTAACTGCACACATCAGGACAGATGAATAAGAGTCACTCTTAACAGAGGATCTTGCTTTTTTCAGATCAGGGCATTTTGTCGGCCGTCACTTTATTTTCCTTAGGATAAATTCAGCGCTGGAGCGAGTCACGCCTTCGACTTCTAACGAATTTGTTGCAACCCGCGACAGCTTCACAGCTCGGATTCTTCTTCCACTCTCAGGGATCAGCTTTATCAGCTTTGCCTGCAGTTACAGGCTTTGCAGCTTCACAAACAGAAGATGTCCCCGAAGATTTTGGCAGCTCTCCGCGCCGCTGCTCTGCTGTCCAAGACTGGGAGACTGGGGGTGCAGAGAGCATGGACACCGTTTTTAGCAGTTCAGCCCAACTGGTAAGTGCTGAAACAGCTGAAACAGCTGGCTGTAGTTGTGCACAAGTAAGACAAAATAATGACCCCTAGTACTGCACTGACAGAAAGCACTGTAGTGGTGACAACGCTTGTGAAAAAGACGTCCGACTTCTCAAAACGGAAATGAGGTTTCATGGTATTATATATAAACATTGCCTTATTTGACTGACAACTGAGGGATTTTTGGCGAACTTTCAACCCACGGACCCCAACCACCAGCCTCGGTAGCACTTCCTGTTTATTGCAAGTTTTTGGATAGATGTTTCTGCATGACTAAAAGGGAGTTTTAGGATCTGCTCGTTTACGCTGAGACAGTTTAGTTCATGAGTTCCTCTCTGCTGGTGGGAAACCGAGAGTGTACATTTCATTCAGGAGCTTTAGTGGGTGGACCAGGACATTCTGGAGAAGCTATGTAATGTAATGGAAGAAGGCAGTAGTTCAGGGAACTAGTACATACAACGAAGATCAGATTTCATGACTGAATTCAGTGCCGTTAAACAACCCTTTATTGGCATTAGATAGGAGGAAAAAGTGGGATTAAAATGGCTCAAAGCCTGTCAATGCTGTTTTTATGTGTTATTTAGGCTTTATGTTCTCACGCATTTTAGCGTTTATAGTCATGTAAAAAACAGAAACGCTTAAAGGGGTATTCCACCGGTTTTTCAACATGTCTGCATGGCTAAACTGGTTAGATATAAACAGTCATTCAGTGTGGTTTCATGTGAAATTCTCCGTTCTAGGGAAACTAAGTGAAGGGAATAAGGCGCCCGGAGCGTTTCATGCCACTGAAAGCGACCTCACAGAAAGTATTAGCCCTGCAAGAAATAGTTAGAAATGTGCTGCTTGATGCTTGAGACATTGTTTTACGATAGCTGTGCGATGAGGCTCTGGAATAAAATGTACTTATCAACATCTGGCCATGGCAGATGGTAGTTCCTGTCACCACCATTATAAAGAAATCTAAGTTGGCAAGTTTCTATTTATGTTTCAACCACTGAATTACACAGGAGTTTAGGAAAACTGATGGATTAAAAAAAGATAAAAAACCTTTAAGATAAAAATGATTTCAAACAAATATTTTATCAGGAACTTTGATAAAATATTACATCATATAATGTATTTTCCAGTATCAATTATATCAAGTTGAATAGCTTTAACACTTCATACGTTTAGTCCTGTGAATTTCTTTACATTTCTGTCAAATTCATTTCCAATCTACAGTATTTAGTTTTAGGCACCTTAGAAAATTAGATTTAAAAAGCTGTTTATCTGGCCAGAAAGCGTGTGCTTGCTCAAAACTCTTTGATAAATGCAAATGATGTTAACACTAATAAGTAGTGATTTTTCATATGTCAAAGTTTATGTTTAACCATTTCCAAATCTCTCCTCATGGCAGCCCAGCATTACTTGTAGTCATCATCCCACACCTGGTCAGACTAATTAATGCTTAATCAAATAAAATCAGAAATGCTGTCAATGAAATTTAACAAATCCAGATGATGGCTGGAGGCATCGAGGAGACATCTGGAACCAAACCTGTGTTCTTAAAACCAGACCATGAGATAGCAGTGACTTTTTTAAAAAAAAGAAAATTGTGTTTGTTTATTTGCATTTATTCTAATGATATATGCTGTTTTTGCAAGCACAATCACAAAAAAGTGTTTAAATAATCTGATTAGGTGCCCAAAGGTGCTCAAAGGTACTGTACATCACCATAAATGGGTTTAAATTGATCATAAGTTAGGATTTGAATCTCTAGATTTAATGTTTTCTGTAGATCCTGTTTTCCTGAAGATGCTATTTGCAGATAAGGTTTTTAGAGACTCGTAAACTGAGACTTAAACCCATCATTAACATGGCTGCTCTCACCAGAAACTCCTTTTATCCCATTTCTGTAAAGTTGGCTATGTTGAGTTCTTGTCATTTAACCAGTTCATGTTACACATTTTAACAATGTCAAGTCGTGATCTATGAGTTAAAATTCATCTTACTTATTTTCTTCTTCATCTAGTGCCATCCATGTAGACAGTCCACCCAATGTACCAACCCTAACCACCAGCTATGCCCACGGTGTCTCTTCCTTCTCCTTGCAGTCTTTAACTATGGGTAAGGCCCTGCAGGTCACAGTGGAGCGGTGGCCTGACCGTGAGGCTGTGGTGTTCCTGCAGAGTGGCATTAGGAAGACCTTTGCTCAGTTCCAACATGACGTGAGTGTCTTGCTTCTGTTTGAGTTCATCAGAACTACTTACTCTTTACAGTTTTCTGAATACAGTCAAATTAGTTATATGCAAAATTGTCCACTCTGCAGCCATTGTGGCAGCCCCTCTGCCTGGCCAGGTGTTTCCAGTCAAACAAGACCAGGCCCGTGTGCTTAAATTCAAAAGTAAACCTACAATAGTGAGCATAAAAAATAGGGCCAATTGAGTCCTGGTACGTATAATTGTGAGCATGTGAAATAGGAACGATTTCATTTTATTCTTTAAAGCTATACAGTAGTAAAACAAAGTAATACCAATAAATACTGTCTGGAAAAAAAAAAAACAAAAAACAAAACATAACACTGCTGACCTCCTACATTCCCCTGCCCCCCACCCCTGGGCCAAAGTGAGTGGAACTTCACTGCAACAAAAATGTTAAAAATGCAGCCCTGTAACCTGAGGATCATTCAGCATGTACTGTTATCTTCCTGCTGGATCATGACCTGTGGATGATTTTTTCATGCCACCTGTGATGTCACAGCTCCTAATAAGATTCTCTTGTGATTTCTGTGTTGAGACACATTGTTTTACAGTGTGACCTTTGCTTAGTTTTGTGTTTTATCATTGGTACTACA